CAAAAAGTGATGGCAGTATACAGATGACTAAGTCGGGAAACATTAGACAGTGCTCATAGGTTATTTATGTCAAGCACTTTCCTATCTGTAAACTCAGCATAATACCTAACCTTATAGAGCATGGTGAGGATTAAATAATATAGTACTTATAAAGTAATTAGCATGTGTTGGGTGCATATAAAAGTGTGTCAGGGCTGGGGTTGTTTTTGGTGGTAAAGAGTTTGCACAGCATGTGGGAGCCCCTGGGATCAATCCCCAGCACTGCAAAAGAAAAAGTTGTGTTTGTGGGCCAGGCACTGAGATGGGTGCTGGGGGTGGCAGCCCATGAGGGGTGTGTTCACTCTGGAGCATTCCCAAAGTGTGTGCCCAGCACTGTGCTGAGTGCAGAGAAGACAACAGAGCTTATCTAGTTAGAGCCAAGGGAGCAGAGGCACATTATAGTTTGTGGAAAGTACCATGGGAGCCCAGCAGAGGGAGCCCGCGCTCAAGCTGTCGGCCATGGGGTGCCACTTGCTGGGTCTTGCTGCACAGCTCCTTCAGTCAGGCAGCAGATATGTRGTGGGTTTCTGCTCTGCACTAGTGTGGTGCCATGCACTGGAGATTTGGTGTTGATCAAAAAAAGAGTCCCTGCGCCCTTGGAATGTAGATTCTAAAAGTGGAGATAGGCTGAAAGTGAGGCATGTGCTTTTATAAATACAGGACTTCTGTAGGTGTAAAAGAGGAGACTTTGATCTAGTCAGCAGGCTCTCCCAGGGAAATCTCGAGTTTAAATTCCACTGTATATCACCCTAGGTGAGACCTCCCTGAAGGCAAGAATGTGTGCATATTATTTGCTGTGTATCTCTGGTGCCTAGCACAGCATGTGGGCATGTGGTAGACACTCCAAGAGAAGGAGGGCATGATGGAAAGTGGGAGATAGCTGGGAGGGGAGAGAGCGAAGGGGCAGCAAGCCGAGGAAACAGCCTGAGCAAAGAGCCCCTGTGGGGAGGGGCAGGTTACCTTTGAGAGTCTGGAAGGAGGCTACGTGTCAACGGTGTCAGAGGGAGGAGTGGACCTAAGAGGTGGGCTGGAGCCAAGCCACTGGGCCTTGGCTGCCACAGGAAGAGTTTTGATCTTCCTCCAAAGAGCAGTTGATTTTAAATAGTTCATTGTATGATTTGCATTTTAGAAAAATTTCTCTCCTGCTTTGCAGAGGACAGACTGTGGCAGAGGGCTGTGGGGCAAGATTGACTACAGAGGGGTATAGAGGAAGACACCAGATTTTCAGCTTGCTACATGGACGGAGGTTGGGCCATTCCATAAGACAGGAGCACTGAGAAAGAATTTGGTTTGTTTAGAAAAAAACACGAATTTGTCCTTCAATACCTTGAGCTTTGAAGTGCCTTTGAGTCATGTACATGGCGGCTGAGTGAAGCTAAGCTAGAGGTACAAACCTGAGAGTTGTCTGCATGGAGGTTCTGGATGAGATTGTGGGCATGAATGAAATTGCCTGGGGGGAAAGAGAAGGCAGGATGAGAAGTAGGCTTGGGAGTTGAGATGCCCCATTTTTGGATGGGACCACACAGAGCTTGAAACTCTGGAGGAGCTACTGGAGAAGTGAGAGAGAATGGGGTGAGGAGTGGGGACATGGGATCCTGGAAGCCCACAGAACTAACTTTTCAAAATGAGGAGGTGATTGATCCATCCAGGGTTGAGGGCATGAACCCTCAGATATGTCCCTGGCTTTGACAGTTTGGATGGAGTGGCTTGATGGGGACAGAAACCATATTGGAATGTGGAGGTGAGGAAATGAAGTCTTAGTGAGTACAGGTAACTCCAGAGAAGTGTGGCTTTGGGAAGAGAGAAGTTAGCAGTTGGTGGGGAGAGAAGGACGAGGGAAATTTTATTTTTATTAAGTCCCTAAAACTTCTTAGTAAGAAGTATACTCATTGAGAGGGAGAAGTTTACCTGATGAGGTAAGGGACTTTCAGAGGGAGAGAGTGTCCTGAATAAAACCTGGAGGCTCTGCCGGGTGTTTTCTCTGATTTAAGGAGGCTGATTAATGGGGTTGGGGGCGCATGGGGGGATCAGATGAACTCTACATAGGGCAAGGGGAAGGGAGGGGCATGAGGGTAGGACAGATGGTGGAATGCGATGGACCTCATTATCCTAAGTGTATGTATGAAGACACGAATGGTGTGACTCTGCTTTGTGTACAACCAAAGATACGAAAAATTGTGCTCTATACGTGTAATATGAATTGTAATGTCTTCTGCATTGTATAACAAATTAAAAAAAAAAAAAAAAACCTGGAGGCTCAAAAGTGCTGGCRGAACTGTTGGGACTGGGAGTGGGTGTCCAGGGCTGCTGGAGTGGAGGTGTGGGGGGCCGTGGTAAGCAGTGTGCATGGAAACAATGGGTTCAGWGACCTGGTGTGGGGGCACTAGCCAGGGTGTTGCAAAGCACAGGAGACGAGTAGCTGGGAGCTGTTCCTGCTGTCTTCCCTCTAGGTTCAAGAAGTTGTCAGGAAGAAGAGTAGAGGAAAGCCTTGTGGTACTTTGCTCAGGAGGATGCTGGGTCAGTTGGAGTATCAACAGGGCACAGAAAGCTGGAAATGATGGGGCTGGGTTGTGGCTCAGTGGCAGAGCACTTGCCTAGCATGTGTGAGGCACTGGGTTCGATCCTCAACACCACATATAAATAAATAAAAAATAAAGGTACATCAACAACTAAAAAATATTTTTAAAAAGAGAGAGAAAAAAAAGAAAGCCAGAAGTGAGCAGACAGGGGAGGGACGTTTAGGGAATGATTCTCGGTTTTCCCTTGGGAAAGTCAGTCTCAGGTTGGGGRACGGCTGAGTCAAAGCCACACATCCTTCAAAAGGGCTGGCTGAAGCCTCAGCTTCAGAGAGCTCACAGAGTCCAGAGCATATTTTTTGAGGTCTCCCCACTCCTGCTGTTCTTAAAACTGTGCTGTAAACATTGTGCACTTTGGAGCCATTGAATACCATCACTATTTACCTTTGTTTATCTTTGTGACACATTAGAGTAGGCCTGAGCTAGTTTTACCCAAGAACAGATCATTTTCCATGGGCTTTTGAGACAGGGCTTGCACAGCTCAGAGTCTGGAGCCAGAATGCCTGGATTTGAATTTGAGTTCCCCAGTAGAGAGTGAGAAAGAATGCGGGCAAGTTACTTTGCCTCACTGATGCCTCATTTTTCTTATCTGTAAATTTAGGGAGATAATAAGAATGCCTAATGCATAGGACTGTCAGGACTAAATGAGAAATGCACAGGAAGCATTTAGAAAACCAACACATTATGGAATTAGAGAGTTAGCCTGACTGTGGTCATCGCTGTGGGGTCTCCAGTTATCATTCCTTTGTAAAAGCACCAGAGGGCGACAGAGCACGTGTCTGGCTTACCCACATTCTACCAAAAGAACGCATTGCTGGATTCATCTGTTCTCTTCTTTAGAAACCTAATTATACTTATATTTTGTTTCTTCCCTTCCTCCCTCAGACTTCTTTCAAACTTCTGATTGAAACTAATTTGTTTTGAGACTCCTACTTAAATTTTATTCATAAAATTTTTGAAAAGCATTTTGGTTCAAGTACATATGCATGCAGTGATACTTCACATATGTAGAATGGCTATTGGGGAAAAGCAAGAAGCCCTTACACAGCCTACCCTCCCCGTTCCCCGTGCTATYCTTCAGAAGCGGCCGCTTCTAACTGGTTTATTGCAGTGTGATTTTGAATATCTGGATTTTATATTACTTTGACCAAAACGTTTAGCAGTGTAATTATTAAATAATCTCTCTTGGAATTCAGTGGAGGAGAAGTTGCCAGGGTTTTGTTATGTGCTGCTTCTGTGCCAGTCACTGTGACGGGCAGTTAGTGCTGCCAGGAAACTATCTGGAAGGGGAGGAGATAGGACAGCATGGTGAGTGCTTTCGGGATCACTGGAGAGAGAAGCACCCGCCTCTCTTGGCATGAGCATCGGTGAAGACTTTGTGGAGAAGGTCCATTTGAGCAGAGATGAAGGTGGAACCTGGTTTGGCAGGGCAAGGGAAAGGTACTCCTGTCAGTGGCAGGACCAAAATGTCAAGTGCAGGAGCATGGCCACCTGGAGCTGCAGAAGACTGGAGGGTAAAATTTGGAGTTGGAGGTGGAGTGTGGCAGAGAGTGAGGGTGCTGCATGCTGCGTCAAAAAATTTGGATCTCGTCTGAGAATGGGGAACCATTGAAGGATTTTAGTAGCAAAGCAACATGGATATGTTTGTATTTTGTTAAGATCAGTCTCAAAGCAGTGTGCAGAGTGGATCGCATAGCTTGAGACTCTAGGAAAGGATTGTGGCAATCTAGGTGAGAAATGGCAACAACCTGCCTCAAGGCAATAACAGAAGCCCTGGGGTGGGATTGGGGTGAGAAATAAAAAGGAGGTAGGCTTGACAGCCTTGGAGGGAAGGGAAAAGTCAAAGCAGAGCCCCTGATTTCTGGTTTGGCCAGTTGATGGGTAGTGACACCTACACATGGGGCACAAGTCCAGGGAATAAAGAGGGTTTTAAGGTCATTTCCGATTTATGGAATCTTATTTGGCTTTGAAGACATCTCAGGGGAGACCTCAGTGCAGCTAGAATCAGGGGAGACTGTTGCTTACCAGCTTTGTCACCTTTTGCAGGTTACTTATCAACTCCAAGCCCAGGTTTCTTATTCGGATGATGATGCTATCTATGAAGGGGCCTATGATCATTGATAGGAGGCTCATCTTTGGCTTCTCCTTCCTTTGGGATTCAGAAGGACGAGCATGTCTTCAGACTTGTGGCTTTTTGTGTGAATCAGGCTGTTTGGGGTAATGCAGAGTCATATGGAAAACAAGTATTTAAGAAACTACATTGTGTGTAGCTCATTACTGCAAGCCACCGTAGATAGCTTAGAATTTTATTTATCATTGCAAAACACCTTTGCTTTTCTGGTCACTGCATGTCACCACTTAACATTGATTTTCTCCCTTATTTAGAAAGCATGCACCTTCATCAAATCTAACCTTGATCCCAGCAACGTGGATTCCCTCTTCTATGCTGCCCAGTCCAGCCAGGCCCTCTCAGGGTGTGAGGTGAGTCCAGATTTTCTTAAACCGACATTTGCTTTAAACTGTAAATCACATTTTTAAAGGGGAGGGTCATGTCAGATTATTATTTTGTGTATGAATGTGTGTGGTGCTGGGGATTAAATCCAGGGTTCATGCATGCTAAGCAAGCACCCTACCACTGAGCTAATGCCCTAGTTCCCTGAATTCTCTCTTCTCTCTCTCTCTCTCTCTCTCTCTCTCTCTCTCTCTCTCTCTCTGGTACTAGGGATTGAATCCACCCTAGCCCTTTTCATTTTTTATTTTGAGACAGGTCTCACTAAGTTGCCCAGGCTGGCCTTGAACTTGTGGCCTCCTAAATTGCTGGGATTACGTATGTGTACCACTGTGCTAATTTATTGTGTTTTTTTGTAAACAATGAGACTCTAGTGGTGTGAAAGCAATTCTTTCTATGATAATTTTTAAAAGATAGTATAGTTTGTTTATTTTTCCCCCGAGTTTTCACTTTTTAAATAAAGTTTTTCCTGCAGTTGTTGCCTTTCTTCTGTTTTGTTGTTGTTTTTTTTTTTTTTGGGGGGGGGGTACCAGGGATTGAACTCAAGGGCACTTGACCACTGAGCCACAACTCCAACCTAGGGTCTCGCTGAGTTGCTTAGCGCCTCGCCTTTGCTAAGGCTGGCTCTAAACTTGTGATCCTCCTATCTCAGCCTCCTGTGCTGCTGGAATTACAGGCATGTGCCACCGTGTCCAGCATTATTATTTTATTTTATTTTTTTTATTTACATGTGGTGCTGAGAATTGAACACAGTGCCTCACATATGCCAGTCAAGTGCTCTACCACTGAGCCACAACCCCAACCCCTGTTGCCTCTCTTCTGGGAGGCTTTGAGTTTTTCTTTACATTTCCCTTTAACATTTAAAAATGCTTGAAGAGGCTGGGTGTGATGGTGTACGCCTGTAATCCCAGAAACTTGGAAGACTGAGGCAGGAGGATTGYAAGTTCGAGGCAAGCCTCAGCAACTTAATGAGACCCTGCCTCAAAATGGGGATGTGGCTCAGTGGAAAGCACCCTGGTTCAATCCCCTGTACCAAAAAGGAGAGAAGGAAGGAAAGAAAGAAGGGATGTTGTTCAGTGGTAAAATGCCCAAGTTCAATTCCCAGTTTAAAAAAAAAAAAATCACTGTGTATCCCCAGATATCTGGGTCATTTTACTAAATGAAGTTTACTAAACTACGGAAGTAAACAAGACCACAGTAACTTGTCAGCCTCTTTTGGAAGGGGTTATGCTGAGGGTTTACAAGAATTCTGACATCTGGGGACTGGGGGTGRTGAGTATGTGCAAAATGGTTGTGACTGGCAGTGGCCAGAAACTCAGAACCTGTTCTAAACCTCTGAGTCTGCTATCTTTCCTAGATCTCTGTTTCAAATGAGACCAAAGATATGCTCCTGGCAGCTGTCAGTGAAGACTCTTCTGTTGTCCAGATCTACCACGCTGTCGCAGCCCTCAGTGGCTTGGGCCTTCCCTTGGCATCCCAGGAAGCACTCGGGGCCCTCACTGCTCGCCTAGGCAAGGAAGAGACTGTGCTGGCGTGAGTTGTCAATTTAAGCCTTCTTAGGCCTCCTATCCCAAGATGGCTCATTCTCGGTTCAGCAGATATTTCCTGGGCACCTATTCTAAGCCACATGTTCTGCTACACATGTCAGACACAACACTGAATTAGGCAGTAAGGTCCCTTCCTTGGTGGAGCTAACAAAGACATGGCCTTCTGCATGCTGCTCAGGTAGAAGGCAAGTACAGAGCCGGAGCATAAACCCACTACTACACAGAGACACCATCTTCTTTTTAGGTTAGAGGGTAGAAACTTAGAGTGAGTCCATTGAGCTCGGAAATTTCTTGGGGTTCGGCCAGGGCATAGTGAGATATTGGCAATGGGAGCTCTGTGAAAAAGTGGGGCTTGTGGTATCCTTAGAAGTTGTGAGAGATGGCATCTGGAGGGGAGAGTGTAGAATATTCTAGGAATTAGGACCCTGCTGCTTACTCTGCAAGACGCAAAAGTGAAGGAGAAGCCCCCTCAGGAAAAGTACTTGGAGCAACTCTCACTTTTATTAAAATGGTATCTGGTCACTGACTTCAGGATATTTGTTAAATTTAAAAGTAATGATGTGTAATTTTTTTCTTTAACTAAACAAGTCATTTAAAACAATTTTTCAGGGCTGGGGTTGTGGCTCTGTGGTAGAGCACTTGCCTCGCATGAGTGAGGCACTGGGTTTGATCCTCAGCACCAAATTTAAAAAAATAAAGATATTGTGTCCATCTACAATTAAGAGAATATTTTTAGAAAACAACTTTTCATTTTCTATGTTTCCCATTTAATGTCAACCCATAAAGAGGGTATGGAGGGCTGGGGTTGGGGCTCGGTGGTAGAGCGCTCGCCTAGCACGTGCAAGGCACTGGGTTCTATCCTCAGCACCACATAAAAATAAATAAATAAAATAAAGGTATTGTGTCAACTACAACTAAAAAAAAAAAAAAAAAAAAAAAGGGTGTGGAGTGCCTGTTAATTGTATAGCAAGAGGTTGGTGACACTGATTCTCACTTTCAGGACAGTGAGATCATTTCCCAGGGCTTTGGCCAACAATCAGATTGTCTCTAAACTTGCAGCTTTGATAAGGACAGATTTTGCAGTATTTGGGTATTCTTTGTCATTCCCCCACTCTACTCACATTCACATGGTTGGCACTCGGTAACTTCAGGGCTGATTCTTTCCTGGGCTAATGTTTCATACACACTTTGCCAGGTGCTTGGCCCTTGTGGTCCTTCGATTTCAGGCCATACATTTTTATTGCTGTTCATTATCCCTTTTGGTAGAATGCTCCCCTTGTTACTACCATCTCATGTCATGTCTTCAGTGTTAGTCCCTTACTCTGATGCCACCACTTTCTACCAAAAAAMCCCCTCATTTCCTCTAAACAAAAAGGGAAATCTCCTTCCTCAAAAACCCTAGAATAAGAAGTAGTACAAAGGAGTCAGGCAGATGTGCATTTGAACACCAGCTGTGTTCCTTCCTTGCTGTGTGATTTTGGGCAAGTTACTAAGTTCTATTGAGCCTCACCTGTAAAAAAGACCAGAAATCTTTACATCACAGAGCAGAAGCAGATGTTAGGATCAAATGAGATGATGAGTGTGGAGAGCCTAGCCCAGTGTCTGCTCTTGGTGGCATGCAGGATGCAGAGTTCCTTCCCTAGAGCATTTCTCATTAGGGAGCTGGCTACTTCCTTGGTTGTATTATAACTGTTTCTATTTTAGGTCTTAGCCTTCTTTATTTGCAGTACTCATGGAGCCTGGCATGTTGAATGTGCCTAACAAAGGATTAATAAAGGTGAAACTACTCTATAAGAAAGCTTATAGGAAGACAGAACACATGTTTTGAATCAAATAGAACTCTTCAAATCCAGACTCTTCTACTCTATACCTCTGTTATCACAAGTGGGCTGTTTAACGCCCCTAAACCTAAACCTCAGTTCTTTCACAAGTAAAACCCACAGAATTTTATCTACTTCATGGAGTTATTATGTCGATCAAACTGGTAGATCCTTTTATATTGTTATTGCTTATTTGCCCCATTTAGGGAAATCTGATATGCATTAGAACTCTTTGGGCCCTCTATATTTAAGTGAAGTTATCCTAGGAAGTGTATGTTCATAAGCCTGACCTGAAAGAGAAAATATTTATGGGTTTAAATGAGCCATCTGAAAAGATGTCTCTTGAAAACCAATTTCTCTGAGTCATCTGCTTTATATTAGGAAAACAGAATCTGCTTTGAATCTGTTTGAATATAGTACTCTAGAGAGAAAGAAATCACTGGCTGGGGAATAAGTAATTAAAGCCTGTGACAAAACTTTTCTAAAGCTAAATGGATTAATTTCATTTTAAATTTCCAAGGTTGTTACCAGCATGGCAGTCAGTCATTCCAAAGAAGAGAAAAATGATGTCTTAATTGATAAATTCTTTCTAGGCTATCTTAGCAGTCTTTTCTGAGCTCAGCATTTGTATAGGCAGATGTGGGATTTTTATCTTGTTCAGAAATTCAGGTTTCATTTTCCCAAGTGCATTATAACAACAAGTATCCCATAGGAGTCATTGAAAGCTCATGGGGCTTCTCTCTGTGAATTGTGACTCCTGTTTTCCAACTTTTCATCCTAATGGAATTAGTTTTCAATAGAAGAAATCTAAATTGCTATGATCTGGACATAAGTAGACAGATTCCCTGCTCTACATTCCCTGACATGCTGACTTGATAAGTGGTGGTTTGCACTAGGATCTGTCATCTCAGGAATTAGGGCTGGAGCTGTCTGTCTGACCACCAGGGGGCCTCAGCTTTCCTCTTTTGACCCTGAGAAGTACCATTTATATTTTCCAAACTATTTGCATCAAGAGAATATAATGAAAAATCATGTATATACACCTGTAACCTTCCACCTAAAAGGGTTTATCTTCCGGGAATACACTCATAAATAGGCAAAAATATATGAATAAGCCATAAAAATGAGTGAAGCACTGATACATGCTACAACATGGATGAATCTCAAAAACATGCTGAGTCAAAGACGTCAGACATTAAAGATCACATATTTGTATGATACCATTTGTCTGACATATCCAGGATAGATAAATCCTTAGAGACAACTTAGCTGGAGGGTTCCAGAGACTGGGAGAAKGCAGAATGGGAGACTGATTAATGGGTATAGGATTTTATTTTGGACAGATAGAAATGTTTTGGATCTAGACAGAGGTAGTAGTTGTACAAGATTGCGAATGTTGTAAGTGCCACTGAATTATTCACTTTAAAAATGGTTAATTTTGTTTATGAATTTCACCTCCATAAATTTTGAAAAATTTATGTGTGAATAAAGATTATCAGTTATAGTATTATAAGATCTARTTTAAAAAATATCTATCAAGCCAGACATGGTTGTGCATGCCTGTAATCCCAGCAGGTCAGGGGGCTAAGGCAGGAGGATTGCAAGTTCAAAGCCAGCTTCAGCAACTTAGTGAGGTCCTAAGTAACTTAGCGAGACCCTGTTTCAAAAGAAAACATTAAAAAAGGCTGGGGAAGTGTCTTAGAAGTTAAGCACACCTGGCTCAGTGGTTAAGTGCCTCTGAGTTCAAACCCTGGTACCAAAACAAAAAACTATCAATTGGAAATTAAGTGAGGAAATTGTGGTACATTTAGGCAGTCTAACACTGTGTTGTGTTAGTCAGCTTCTCATATCTATGACCAAAATACCTGACAATAACAGCTTAGAGGAGGAAAGATAATTTGGGCTCACAGTTTCAGAGGTTCAGTCCACGGTCAACTGCTCCATTGCTCTGGTCCTGAGGTGAGATAGATGGGAGAGTGTGGTCATGATGGAAGGGTGTGGCAGAGGAAAACTGCATAGCTCATGACAGGTGGAAAGCAGAAAGAGAGCGCAGAAGGAGCCAGGGACAAAATCTATGATCCCAAGACATCCTTCCAGTGACCCACTTCCTCCATGTCCCGCCAGCCTACAGCTACCTCCCAGTAATCCACTGATGGGGTTGCCTGCCTCATAATCTTATAATTTCACCTCTTGCATTGATATGTGAGCTTTTGGGATGGGGAGAATGCCTCATATCCAAACTATAATTGTTAGTAATAATGAAGTACATTTATATGTATTCATACGGAACCGTATCTTTTAAGGGTAGCTATTATAGGAATTTTAACTTTTTTTAGTAATATTTATTTGAATTTTTGACAAATAATGTTCTTTTATAGTAAAAATAAATGGTAGAAAAAGAAAATAAGATTAAAATTGGTTTAGGAACAGATCTTTGCTCTTATTTAATGCCTGAAGGATTAGTGGCACTTAGGTCTCCCAGGAGCACAAGTGTTAACCATTTAGCACATATTTCCTGAATTATTGTATCTTTAGGTTGCATTATTCTTGTTTCAGAATAGTTGACCCAGATTCTATTCAACAGTGTCACATGTAGATTCCACATTATCTCTTTGTCTTGAGTAAGAAAAGTTAAAAAATTAACAGACAGCCAGTTTGGGCCACGTATACATTTGGAATGCCAAATACACCTTGGTCGATTCGAGTGCTAGTCTCCCTAAGAGGATATCCCTTATAAAGTTAACTAATTTCAGTGTTCTACTGTTTCCCTTCCAGAACAATCCAGGCTCTGCAGACAGCATCCCATCTGTCCCAGCAAGCCGACCTGAGGAACATTGTGGAGGAGATTGAGGTCAGAACTGTTTTGCCAAATAGGTCTCCCAGCTCCAATCTTTGACACCTTTTAGGAAAAGAATCTTGCAGCTAGACATGCCCGATTTGTTATACCCACTTATATTTTAAATCCATAGTATGCTTATGTTATTTGTGTTGGAGCAATAATATGTCCGAGGGAATATTTGTTAGGCTGATATAGTTACATCATAAAATAGGTAACATTGTTTTTCCAGCCTTTTGTAGAGGTAATCTAATCTCCCAGGTTTTTGGAGCCCAACAAATGTAAAATTCAMATGCTTTTTTCCTACTACTTACCACTTTTCAATCCATGGCAAGTTCTTTAATAGCTCTGAGCTTCAATTTCTATATTTGGTTGTTGCAAGAACAAGTGAGGTTCTAAAGAGCCTCATACAGGCCAGGCACATCTGTAATCCCAGCTGTTTGAGAGGCAGAGGTAGGAGGTCTATAATTTCAAGGCTGGCCTGGCAACTTATCCGGTATCAAAACTTTAAAAAATAAAAATAAAAAGTGTTGGGAATGTAGCTTAGTGCTAGAGTAGCCCTGGGTTCAATTCCCAATATTGTAAAAACAAGGTAAAATAAAAAAGAGCCTAGTACCTAATAGGTGCTCAGTAAATGACCACTGTGGTTTTTATTATTCTATGCTTTGGTAAGAATGTCTTACTCAGGCCGGGGCTGTGGTTCAGTGGTAGAGCATTTTCGAAGCATGTGTGAGGCACTGGGTTCAGTCCCTGGCACCACATAAAAAAATTAACAAATAAAATAAAAATATTGTGTCCATTTATAACTAAAAAAAAAAAAAAAAAGAATGTCTTGCTCCTCAGGGCCCACTCTCCTGGACTGCAGAGGCAACTGTGACATTCACCACTGACACTGTCATGAGTGGGTGCTTCACTAGGTGCCTAGATGTGTTGCCCAGGAGAGCAGTATGTCTCTTTCAGAGCTTTGACCAAGAAAGAGAAATGCTGTGCTTCACAGGTTGTAGGTGACTGGATGGCGATGGAATCCATCTGGGCGGAAATGCGTCCTGGGTGCACCGCAGCCTGGCCTGCTGACCTTCTGCCCAGAGTGGCTGGTGTCATTAGTACCACTGCTCCTGCGCTTGGGCGGGAATACAGGGGCCAGGGAAGGTGCACTCTCAGAGCCGCCCAGGACACMGTTCTATGCACGTGTTTCCATGATGTATTTGGCCCTGCCTAAGCACCATTTCTGATAAAGTATCAAGTGACTGAGGTGGTCTTCAGATTTAGAAGGAAAGAGTTCTCAAAACCATCTATCTGCACTGGGGTGACCGTGGTTTGTATGTCTCTGTGATCACTCGACTTCCRGTAAGCTTTTGTTTTGTTGTCACAGGACCTTGTTGCTCGCCTGGATGAACTGGGGGGTGTGTATCTCCAGTTTGAAGAAGGATTGGAAACCACAGCGTTATTTGTTGCTGCCACCTACAAGCTCATGGACCACGTGGGGACTGTGCCATCCATTAAGGAGGTGCCAATCTAATAGTCTCTGGCTTGGAACAAATGGCATTGTCAACTTCAGCTGCTAAGGATAGATGTTTTCAAAAACAAATGTTCAAATGACACATGTTCAAATGACACTTTGGGCGTTGTCATTTAATTCCTTGAGTTAGGCATCAAGGATGAGAAATAGAGGATGTGATGCCTGAATTAAGAAATCGGTTGTCCAGTGTGACAGACATATAAACAAATTGTTGCACCTGCTTTAAGTGGGGCACATAGGTGTCATGCAGTAATGGCAAGAAGGCCAGGCGTGTTATGCTTGTCTCATCTTCCTTTTCCTCCTGAGAACCCCTTCCTGCTTATCTTCTAAATGCTCTCCACTTTGGTGATCTGTGCAAATCTTTCTCTCAGAAGTGCCCTGGACTTCAACACTGCCTGTTGTCTTCTCTTCCCTCCTACTTGGCAGTGGCTAAATCTGAGCTCATCTTGGCTGATGGACATGGTTCGTAGAGAGGCATGTGTGTCCAACAGACACTTCAAGAGTTCATCTCCCCACCCCCAAAGGAGCTTATTAAACTGAACAAACCTTTAGTTGGAATGTGTGTGGGAAGTCTTTGAGTAGGACCTTTATTGTACACCTTGTGTGTATGGTTACCAACACTTGATCTTAAGTACAAGCTGCCATTATTTAAATTTTCAGAGGACTGKATTGGGTTTAAAGCTAGAACTTTCACTCTTTTATGCATTATGAGTTTTGTGGCAAGTTTCTTTTAAGTAGACTGCTAATACTGTCTTGGATAATTTGAATTAAATTCATATTTTCTTCACAGGATATGATCTAATAATTTATTCATGTATTTACATTCTTAGTGTTTTGGTTCCTTCATCCTAAGTGTAGGAGTTCTGGAAGTATCACTCTCACTTTTAATTTCAGTTATGGATAAAAAGGCAGGAATGCAGGGTCTTATACAAATTTGGGGGGGATTCTCCTATACATAGAAAAGCAGATAAATTGATGACATTCTACATATACGACTTAAACTTTCTCTTGCTGCATTTCCAAGCTTCTGCTAACCAGGTTGGCTAGAGTAATTTTGCTGTCACTGCTTTTGACACAACAATTCTAGTGAATAGTTCCCTATTTTAACATGTCAACAGCCTAGTGATGGAAAAATGTAATTGGTACAATTAAAGAAAATTATTTCATGTCGACTGTGAATAACACTGTCAGGAACAAGGGAGCTCTTTTGTTAGATGGTGGATTTTAAAAAACAAAACTGATTGAAGTGGAAAATGTTTCCTCCTAAGCAAACAACCTGCAGAATTTTAATCATGCTTTTTGGGTTCCACTTGTTTTAAAAATTGCTTTTAGTTTTCTCCTTTAAGCAGCCCGTTAGTACTTAATGGAGAGTTATTTTAGTTTTTTTCCTGCTGTACATTTTGCTATAAAGTTTGGTCTTCTACAACAGAGTTGGCCCTAATTTGCTACTTATATGTTGGTTAGGAAGGATGGGAGTTTAGCTGGGAGGGTTTTGGGAATCAGCAAAGTACAGGTTTTCTTGTGGCAGGACTCTGGAGATAAGCCTGCATCAGAATTTTGGTCTTGGTGTTTTTCTTCCTTCCTTCCCTCACTCCCTGCTTCTTCCTTCTTCTTTTTCATTTTTTTTTTTTCTGTTACAACTTGTCACTATAATTTAACTTGCTATTAGCCTCAGTTTCCCCATTTGGAAAACATTGATAATATCAGTCTTTCAGGATTTTTTCCAAGATTTTATGTAGTACATATGAAGCATCATAGTACCTGGCACATGTAGGCATTTAACAAATGGTTACTGTTAATGTTTGTTTGTTTSTTTCTTTCTTTGTGGTGCTGGGGACTRAACCATGGGTCTTGTGCATGTGAGGCAAGCACTCTACCAACTGAGCTATATCCCTAGCCCCCCGTTAATATGAATTTTGTAGTACACTTGTATATCTCAGGAGTTATCTGAAAATGCTTTGGGTTTATATAGATTGACATTAAAGATTGACAAATAAAGAGCATGAATTTCAATTTATAATAGGAGATAGAAAAAAAATTAAACTGAAGTTTTAAGTTTGAATCAGCATATTTGTTTTCCCCTCTACAGCTTTGGCTTAACAGTTGGAACCACTTTCATCTGAACACCTGACACATATAAGAAATGACTAAAATCCCATGGGGAGGAAAGGGCTTTCTACTTCCTGCAGAGAGAGATCTGAACTGCCATTTCCCTTTTCTTTCAGGACCAGGTCATCCAGCTAATGAACACAATCTTCAGTAAGAAGAACTTTGAGTCACTCTCAGAAGCTTTCAGTGTGGCCTGTGCTGCTGCTGCACTCTCCCAGAATCAATACCATGTGCCAGTTGTAGTTGTTCCTGAGGGCCCCGCTTCTGCTACTCACGATCAGGCTATCCTGAGGGTATGACCTCTATGCCAAGATATGCTGCTTTGGTGCCATTTCTAGTGCAAGCTTTCAGAAAGCCAATTGTAGCCCTGCAAGGACATACCCATGAAAAATAGGGCAAGGCTCATTTCTCTTAGCCTGGAGATGGGACATGACCACTGGAGATCTAGTAACAGACCTTGCAAATCTATCAAAAAACATTTGTTTCCCTAGAAGATTTTAAATAGTACAGGCTTTCAATAAATTAAGTATAAGAAAATTACATTTCTAGGCCTTTGACTCCAGATATAAAGAGAAGTCTTGCTTCTAAAATACATTTCCCAGTGCCAGAATTCTTCAGATACATGGTTTTAAGGCAGCTGTTTTAATTCTCCAATAATTCTGGTGTTCGTAATTGTTAAAATAAGCATAGGCCTCCTCTGTGCTGGTGGGGGATCTTTATGCCTCTTCTAGCACAGTATTCTCTCTCCCTCAGCAGTGTTCATCTTTTGTGTTAATCTTTAAAGAACAAATGCACAAACCTTGAATACATCTAGAATTTTCACTTCAAACAAAGCATTTCTTGCTGTTGTTTGGAAACCACTGATAAAACAAGATCTTTACAGAAATTAGCATTTTGTTTTGTCTCAATATTGGGGTTCTTCCACGTAGTATAGTCCCTTATAACCCATGTGTTCTTTGGTGACCCCTGCAGATATTCTCCTGCAGAAACGCCCTCTAATTTCAAAATTGTCTCTCCTCACTCTTCATATAATCCATATCCCCTCAAGAGTGTGGTGAGAAATAACTTGATTAATATAGTTCATTGGAGGGGCTGTTGTGGCTGGAAGAATAACATGGGGAATGTATTGGTGATGAAACCAGGACTGGAGTGTGAGTCCTGGCTCAAACCTCTTAATGGTCATGTCCTTAACCTCTCAGCCTCAGGTTCTTCATCTGTAACATAGGAATTACACTACCCATTAAATACAGTTGATGAGAGGTTTAATGTTATCCTTGTTTCTTCAATTTTACCATTGCTTATCCCTACCTAAAATATTTTTCTTGATACAAACATATCTGTGTGTGTAGATATCATACGTGTATATATATATACATGCATGTGTGTATATATACACATATATGATATCTAACAGAAAGAAAAGAAATATATATATTTTAGAGGTACTTTAATAGAGTGGATAGAATAGGAAATGAGAAAGAAGGAAATACAACTGTATAATTTGGAACCGATCTTTTCTTTCCTTGGATTCTAGTTTCCTTCTCTGAAAACTGAGACAATTGGGCAAGGTCATCTTTAGGATCCCTCCCAGCTCTAGCGTTCTCTGATCTATTTCATTCCTGATTGGATTGTATTTTTCCTGTATTTGATTTTGATCTCTGATAGGTAGCAATCCAAAGTTAGGGAAGATTCCCAAAGTGAGACATTCATTCTGCAGAGCTTRCTTCCAATAGGTAAAGCAACCCTGAAGCAAAATTCTCTATTACTTCAGTGTTTGTTATTTGTTTATTTATTTACTTATTTATTTTCAGTTGCAAGTTACCAATGTTCTGTCGCAGCCTCTGACTCAGGCCACTGTTAAGCTAGAACATGCTAAGTCTGTTGCTTCCAGAGCCACAGTCCTCCAAAGGACATTTTTCACCCTTGTAGGGTAAGTCCTGGGCATAGATATTTATGTAGGGCATCAGCTTATTTGTTTTGGGAAGTCAGATTAATAAGGTATTACCAAGATCATAAAACCAAATTTGCCTACATTCAGTAAAATCCTRTAGTTCAATATAAGAAAAGGATTTTAAAAACTAAAACAATTTTGATTTTACTGTTTCTTTCCCAATTTCTAGTTGGCTCTATCTTGTCTTTGTGATATAAATGACTATTTTAAATTTTTTTTTTTCTGATGTATGAGTACTGAGAGCTTATAATTAGAATAATCAGAAAAGCACTAAAAAAAAAATCTATGAATCACTCATGATTCCATCACCCAGGGATAAGTGCTGCTAACATTTTATAGTCTTTTCTGTCAGTCTTTTTTCTATGCATATAAATACATATTTAAAATTGAATTAGGATTATATTTTCTCTGTTATAGTGTATAACATGAACATGTTCACAGAGGGTTAAGTATTCTAAAATCACTTTTTTTAATATTTATTATCCTTAGCACCACATAAAAATAAATAAATAAATAAAATAAAGGTATTGTATCCAACTACAACTAAAAAATTAAAAAAAAAAAAAAAAAAAAAAACCAGAGTCTCACCAAGTTATTTAGCACCTTGCTAAGTTGCTGAGACTGACCTCAAACTTGTGATCCTCCTCTGCCTCGGCCTCCTGAGTTGCTGGAATTATAGGTGTGTGCCACCATGCCTAGTTATGAATCATTTCTATTTTAAAGAGAATACCAATACTTTTATTTATTTATTTTTATGTGGTAYTGAGGATCAAACCCAGTGCCTTACACATGCTAAGCAAGTGCTCTGTCACTGAGCTACAATTCCAGCCCTCTCATGGTTTTTGTTTGTTGTTAAACATAACTGGGGGCTTTGGATGTGGCTCAATGGTAGGGAACTCACCTAGCATGCTTTAGGCTCTAGGTTGAATCCCCATCACTGCAAAAACAAACAAGACATAATTGGAATCATACTATAGACTTACCTGTTTTGCATTAAATTGTGGGATGCTACCAGAGGGAGGGACAATTTTAGAAGTGAAGGGGAAACAAACGAAAAGAAACTTTGGAAACTTGGGAGAAGAGGTGATTGTAGATAGTTTTTACATTTTCTGCACATTGTCRTCTGTAAGTGAGCAGGAGTTGCCCGAGAGAGGTGGGAAGGTGAGACGTTGAAGAGTGGTGCAGCCCTGGTCGGTCTCAAGGAGACGCTTTGTAGCCCCTCTTTGTCATGTTCATGACTTTCCTATGTGAATTCTTGCTAACCTGCTGTCATTCTTAACAGGGATGTTTTTGAACTAAACTTCGTGAATGTCAAATTTTCCAGTGGTTATTATGACTTCTCTGTCAGAGTTGAAGGTGACAACCGTTATATTGCAAACACTGTGGAGGTAAGTGCTTTTCTCATCACCCCCATTGCCATTTTAATATGACCAAAGAATTGGTCAGGTGCGCAGCACAATCATCTGATATGTTTATTGACTTCTCTTTGGGGCCATGTTAACACCACTGTTAACAGAGGGATAGGTTTAARTTATGTTGTTTGACAGATTTCGCCAAAGCAATGAATCAGAAATTTGATCAGAGCAAGTTTTGTTGTTGTTGTTAGTTATTTTCTATCATAATTTTGCATTACTGTCCCRTCCTCCTCCCCCATGCTAAGGGTTTAACCCAGAACCTCATACATGTCCTGCTGAGGTACATCCTTAACCCCTGGCTTACATAAAATTTAGGAAGTAGAAAAATAAAAATCTCCCATATTTCTGCTAAGACATAAATAATCTTAAAGTGTTTTGTTTAGGAGATTTAGAAAAGTGCTTGGTGCCAATTAGGTGATGAAAAGCATCACATACACATATATGACACTGTAATGAGACTGTCAGTATAAAAGTCATAAAAGAAAATCTGTAATCTTTCATGATGAACTATGTTTCAGATCTTTATCTAACTCCAGTTGGGTTGAAAATCCAAGTAGCTTTAAAGACAAAGCTAAGTCTCATTTATCTGATGCTGTATGGGAATGGGGTATTTCATGTTGGGGTTTTCCCCAGCTAATTAAAGTTCACCCCTGCAAGCCCTGTGGCTTCCATTTTATCATCTGTAGGTGTAAGAATATTGAAGGTGAATCACATTTTACTGCTTTCTTAAACTGTGGAGTAYGGTTGAACCCTTTCCTACTCTGAGATTCATCAGTATGAACCCCTTATGGAATGCCTGTGACATGAGAAACACAGTCCTTTGTATTTTTGCTTACATTATTTCACTCTTACAGCAACCCTGAGAGGTGGGTTGAGTCATATTCACTTTGTACACGAGGCTTAAAGGGGTGGATTAAGTTGTTCCAGGTCATCTGGTCTATTGAGTGGATCCTCGCACGATCCCAGCCTGGTGAACACAGAGCCAGCCTCAGAGGCTGCACAGCTGGTATGGTTCTGGCCCATTTCTTGAGAGCTTATTTGGAGGTTCTAGCAAGGGAGCACAGYTACTCGTATACCCTTGACCGAAGAACGGTCCTCCTCTATCGGGGAAGGTCATCCTCTTCAGGAGGGATGCACTTGGAGCGGTGAGGGAGGAAGGGGACACCTGCCTAACCAGCCAGATCAGCCGAATCAACCCTGGCGATCAATGGGGTGACAGATGTCACAGCCAGATCGCCCTCACATCCTGGCCCATTTGAGTCAGGGTCTCACTGTGTTGCTTAACTATATCACCTAATACCAAAGCAACAAAAGAAAAAATAAATAATTTTTTTTTTTTGTCTCAAAATTAAGACCCTTAAGAGCACAGTGGTGCATACTGTAAGCTCAGAGAATCAGGAGGTAGGAGGATGCTAAAATCTCACTACAACAGATCTCTGTGTTGCTTAGGCTGGCTTCAAACTTCTGGATCTGGGCCATCCCTCCTGCATCATCCTCCTGAGTAGCTGGACTGTGGCATGTGTTAGTGCAGCCARCTTTACCCTTTCTAGGATGCCACTTTTCCTTCCTTGTCCGCCCCTCGCAGCAGTGATTTCTCCGTGTTTCGCCTGCTGTCGTTGCTGCATCTACTTGACTACATTTTCATGCTTTCCTGCTTTGTTGAACAGGAGTCTTGGTGTGGCACTGTGTCTTTCCTGAGATAGTAAATGTATGTTGTTTGTGACAGTATTTTCTTTTTTATTCAGATGTCATTTTCCTCTCAGTTTTCTTCTTTAATCTATTTTTTAGTCTTCATTTTGAAATAATTTCATTCTTAATATGCAAAAAATAGTATGTAGAATGCCTGCCTCTTTCTATATATTTCACTCAGCTTCCCCAAATATTAACATCTTAATAAACTATAATAGAATTATCATTACCAGGAAATTACATTGACACAATACTATTAACTAATCTTTAGACATTAATACATATTTTGTCAGGGTCACATATTTCTTTAGCTGTCACTTCCCTTCAGTGTCCTCTATTTTAACATATTTCCTTTTTTTTTTTTTTTTCCCCATGACCTTGACACTTGAAGAGTCCTTTGTAGAATATCCTTCAATTTGAGTTTGTCTGATGTTTCCTCATGATTGAATTCAGGTCATGTGTTTTTGGCAAGAATACTGCAAAAGCAATGTCGTCCTTCTCAGTGTATCAAATCAAGAGTTATATATCATGGGTGTTGGAGATGGCAGAGCATGTGCTTAGCATGCACAAAGCCTGTGCTCATTTCTCAGCACCAAAACAAACAACAACAAAAAACAAGAACAAGAAGTATATGGTGTTGATAAGTTGATAAGGTGGTGATCAACCTGCTAAGGTGGTGTGTGCTAGGTTTCTCAACTCTTATATTGCTGTCTTTCTGCTTTTTATGATATGTCTTATGGGTGTATTGAGATGCCTTGGGGCTAGGGTTGCGGCTTGGTGGTAGAGCACTTGCCTAGCATGTGTGAGGCACTGGGTTCGATTCTCACACTACATAAATAAACAAATAAAAGTATTATGTCTATCTACAACTAAAGATATTAAAAAGAGAGAGAGAGAGAGAGAGAGATCTTATTTGCAACCTTACACATTAATGATCCTGATGATCTTCTCTGTAGCAGTTATTGTGGTATTTGCCAGAAGGCAGTTTTTGCTTTCATTCTTTCTGCATTTATTTATTGGAATTCTATAAGGAAAAAAAAAACTGTCCCTTGTCTTTTGTTTATGCAAGTATTTATAATAAATGTCATTTATTATATTTATAATGTGTAATTTATATAACATGTTTACACTGTGGGTGTTTATTTGGGCATAGAGGTTAGGAACCATTACTGTCATTTATTTTGTTGCTGGTTTGGCCTTTGGGAGAGCTCCTCAGCATGGCTCCTTTGACACTTTCTTTTAATGAAAAGAGTAGGCAGTTAGAAGGTTTGACCTTTTCAAAAATAGGACATTACTTAACACACATAGATTAAGCACTTGTTTTAAAATTTGGCAGGAAGGGAGATGTTTTCTGGAATTCTTGTCACTTTTTCATGTCTGACCTTTTGGGCCTGAGACATCCGATGATCCTAGTCCACTTGCTAGCTCTCAATTTGAGTGGAACTGCTGTAGTGTTTACCTTGAACCTTTAAAATCCAGATTCTTGTAGTTTGAGTTTTCTTCATTAAGAAGCCTTATTTGGGGCTAGGGTTATGGCTTGGTGGTAGAGCACTTGCCTAGCACATGTGAGGCACTGGGTTTGATTCTCAGCACCCCATAAATAAACAAATAAAGGTATTATGTCTATCTACAACTGAAAATATTTAAGAGAGAGAGAGAGAGAGATCTTATTTGCAACCTTACACATTAAAGACAGCCCTTACTTCCCCTCTGCACCTTCTTCCTTCCACCTTCCTCATTTTGGATGCCCCGTCCAGCTTCAGCGACAGGCTCCTTCCTCACAGTTGCTCCTACCCACTTCCTTTCTTTTCACCTCTAAATTCTAGTCAGTCTCCCCAAGACCTGCTCATCCTCACTCCAAATGTCTTTTCCATGAGTCTTTTGTTGTTGCTTTGTTAGGTATTTCCAAATTGCTCTTTTCTTCATATTCTTAGCAGTAGTTAGTATTAGCAAAAAAAAAAATAGTTGGTATTATTGGTTTTTGAAAATCTGATGTCTATGAAATGGTATCTTCTTGTTTTTTGGGGGGGGAGTGCTGGGGATTGAACCCAGGGACTCTTAGCCACTGAGCCACATCCCAGCTCTTTTTAAATATTTTATTTAGAGACAGGGTCTCACTGAGTTGCTTAAAGCCTTAATAAGTTGCTGAGGCTGCCTCAGCCKCCTGAGCCGCTGGGATTACAGGTGCGCACCACTGTGCGTGGTTGGTATCTTCATGTCTTAACGTTTTTCCTTGGTTCCAAAAAGTTGAACATTCTTGTTTTCATTGTCCATTTAGGTTTCTTTTCTTATAAGTCGTCATACATCTTTGTTTTTCTTTTGGTTTGTTAGTCTATCATTGATTTTTTAAGAGTGATATATATTCTAGATACTGATCTTTAATTATAAGATGTCTTCTAACATACTTTATGATGTCTTTTGATGCACAAAAATTCATTTTAATGAAGCCTAATTTAGAAGTCCATTCCTAAATTTAAAAAAAAATTTTGTTGTTGTTGTAGATGAATACAATATCTTTATTTTTATTTATTTATATGCCAGGCAAGTGCTCCACCACTGAGTTACAACCCCAGCCCTCCTAAGTTGGTTTTGTTTTTGGTATCTTTAAAAGTTTCTTTGCTACCTCAAGGTCAAGAAAGTGTCCTCCAATGTGTTTTTCTGTTTTCTCTAAGGTGTTTTTTTCTTTTTATGTTTAGGGTTTGGGTCTACCTGAAGCCTGTTGGTCTTGCCCTGGTATTTTACACCCTGTCTCTGGTTGTGCTTGTTGCGGGTCTTACCATTGTTTGGTGTGTGCATTACTCTCACTGGGCTGGGACTTCCTGTGGGTAGAGACCAAATCGTACTTTTTTTTTTTTTTTTTTTTTTTTTAAGAGAGAGAGAGAGAGAATTTTTTAATATGTATTTTTTAGTTCTCAGCGGACACAACATCTTTGTTTGTACGTGGTGTTGAGGATCGAACCCGGGCCGCACGCATGCCAGGCGAGCACGCTACCGCTTGAGCCACATCCCCAGCCCCCAAATCATACTTTTTTGGTGTTTGGTTTCCATCTTAGACCACTTAGAAGAAGAAAAGGATGCAGTGGTCTAAAGATGTTTTCCCATGTTCCATGGTCCTTAGAATGGGCTCTGTGGTAATTCACCTTCCAAAGGTAAACCTTGGCTTTATTATTTATTAAATACAGCTTTAATGAGATAATTAACATACCATAAAATGTATCCTTTAAAAGTATACAATACAGTGTTTTTAGTATATTCACAGAGTTGTGCAACCCTGACCAATACCA